CGAGATATTCAACATCCATGAAGAGGAGACGTGCGGAGAGGAGATTATAAGAACAGTGCGTGCCAAGATGTCACTCATGTACCCCGAATGTCCCTCTTCTGGACTCCAATTCTTCCGTCTATCCCCTCTCCGCTCTCCCTTCTCTTCCCCAATTCTATCCCAATACTGTCTGTGTAGTTTGGAGATGTTCTGTGGCACGGAGACGGGAACATTTGTCAGTTGGGTTTCCTGACTCAATCAGACGGTGAGATGAGGAATCCCGGGGAGAGAACTCATTACCGATCCGTCCGCTAATAAACCTGAACCGGCGCCGGGCACGGAACTGATTACCGGAGCACACCGAGCAGGCAGAACACTCCGGAGATAATGGGGTCCTCAGAGGTCAGCGTCCGCACATTGTACATCGGGCCCGGCAATGAGGGGTGGAGGGGCCACTGGTAGAGGGCTGGAGGAGAGGAGTCCGGAAGAGTGACCTGAGACCCCCAATGATCGTGTACACATAATGGAGATCCCTATAAAGAGAACAAATCTTCTATTGTAGAGAGGAAGGACACATCACATGGAAGAGGATTGTACCAGCAGCATAGGGAGGGAGTCTCTGCGGGCCAAGCTGAGAGTACAAAGTGTTCTGTACATAATAGGAGTTGTAGTCCCGGCACATCCTCATCCAGCATTGTAATAGCAATACACACTGGAGTTGTCTCTGATAATACAATCACAGCTTTCATATAGTGAGCGCTGCCTTACGTCTGCCCTTCAGGCCAGGTTCACACCAGATGCAGTGCGTTCCAGCCCGATTCTGGCCAGAACGCATCGCATTGCGACCGGTTTACTATTTTGTGGGGCGGGAGGGGGCGTGGCGGGCCATTGAGGTGAATGGCACCGTAGCCACGCCCTCCTGGCCGCAATGCGATCGGCCGCACATAAGGCTCCTTGTGTCACATTATGCCTGCGGTCCGGTGCGGTGCGATGCAAGCGGTATTTTGATTGCACCGGACCGCAGGCATAATGTGACACAAGGAGCCTTATGTGCGGCCGATCGCATTGCGGCCCGGAGGAATTCCACACCCCGGGGCAGCAGGGAGTAGGGGGGCAGCAGGGAGTAGAGGGGCAGCAGGGAGTAGGGGGGCAGCAGGGGTGTGGAATTCCTATCTCCTGATGCCCGGGACATGCAGTTTCGGGAGCCGGGCGGTTGGTTATTTTCTACATTTAGCCCGGCTTTGGGCAAGCAGAGCTAAACGTACAGGGATGTCACCGAGATCACTTGTATGCAGCCTGCAGGTCTGCCATTCTCCAGGGGGGGTGGCCGGTAGGGGGGGCGCATTGAGGAACCTGGCCCTGCGCAGAGGGTCCCTTCACCAGGCTTAGCATGGATCAATGAGAACCCCCACACCCAGCCCATGCTATCATCTGCATCCAGCACCGTCCTTTCTCTCAACTGTATCCACACCGAGAATACAAATAATCCTCCGAGATCGACTTTATTACACGGTCAAGTCACCCATAAAACAGATACAGCTCACGCGTTTCAGCCCCGCAGGGCCTTAGTCATAGCACAGCTGATTAATGTCCCCTCTCCACACAATGGGGGGAGGAGTCACCGATGAACCAGATGTGCACTGGAGAAGAAGCTGTAGGATGCCTCTGGGGGCTGAGTGACATAAATATACAAATTACATTATTTATCGTCCTTTCCGCCGTTTCCATTCTGCGTTTTTATTGGCTCTCGAATGTGTTTTTTCTGGACTTTTTTTTACGACGGCCTTAAAGGCACAGTCCACCTTGTGCAAAAATGTAGTTACTGCGTCCACGATGACATCATAAAAAATGTGCATTTACTGAGCACTGAGGCCTGCAGAGCATTTCAACTGCGCCCAGTGTGTCTCGGGTGCATTGCGCAGACTCCCGAAAGCTCTTCCCCCCCGGTCTGAGTCCAGCGACCACCTTCAGCTCAGGCCCATAGCTGTGATTCTTCCCCAAGAATGCACTCGGGGATCATTGGCAGCCGCGTATAGAAGCCCCGCCCCCATGCTGGCTCCAGCACATGTGAACGATCAATGGTGTCACTTGAGGGAGAGAATGGAGACAGAGAGGAAGAGCGCGAGCGCACGCAGGCAAGAACCTTACGACTGCACAGAAGGTCACAAAAGGTGGTCTGTGCCTTTAATGTTTCCTTTGTGTGCTTTGTTTGATGCGTTTCCTTTATTTTCATATGAAGACTTTGTTTCTCTGGTTCATTGGTGACTCTTCCCGCCATCGTGTGGTGGAGGGAATGTCAATCAGCCGTGTTATATAGCAGAGAGCTATGACTAAGGCCCTTCCAGGATGAAACGCGTAAGCTGCATCTGTTTTATGGAGGACTTGACTCTTCAGTAACGTTTATCTCGGAGGATTGTTTTAAGTGCCGAATTGTTTGTAAACTTGACCAGGATTTACATGATTGTGTCTTCTCTGTCAGGAAGTAGATGGTGACCCTGGATGATGGCTGAATAAAGATTGCACCATCCTCCTGGAGGGGAAAACAGATGGAGGCATTGTCAGGGGGAGTCATGTGATCTCTGTGAGAGGTATTAAATACCCGGAAGTGTTACAATTACATATTACCTAATATTCACTTATCATGAATAATGTATATGATCCGGGGTAATCACATTTCCTGATATACAGCTGACCACCAGAGGGCGCATCCACACATCTGTACAGCTGCTAGACTCATTCACTTGACCAACCACTCAGTGTCTGCATCCCCCCTCTGCCAATCCGTACACTGGCTTCCAATCGCCCGCCCCCCTCTGCCAATCCCTACACTGGCTTCCATCCCCCACCCCCCTCTGCCAATCCCTAACATCCTCCGCCCCCTTCTGCCAATCCCTCCACTGGCTTCCATCCTCCGCCCCCCTCTGCCAATCCCTCCACTGGATTCCATCCCCATCCCCCTCTGCCAATCCCTACACTGGCTTCCAATCGCCCAAAGGATAAAATTCAAAATATTAACAACCACTTACAAAGCCGTCCACAACTCCGCCCCCGACTATATCTCCAACCTCGTCTCAAAATATCACCCTAACCGCCCCCTCCGCTCTTCCCTAAACCTCCTGCTTTCCAGCTCCCTCATCAACTCCTCCCATACTCGCCTCCAGGACTGCACTAGAGTCTCTCCCATCCTCTGGAACTCTTTACCCCAACCTGTCCGTCAACTCCCACCTTGACAGTCTTTAGGCGATCCCTAAAGACTCATCTCTTCAGGGAATCCGATCCCACCTTAACCTGACCACTGAACCATCACGTTCTCTAACAATTCATCCGCACACAGCTCCCTCCTCATGTATCACTGGCCCCTCCCCTTTTAGATTGTAAGCCCTCAGGGGCAGGGCCCTCCTTACCGTCTTGTCTTGAATTGTATTGCGACTGTAATGTCTTCCTTATATTGTACAGCGCTGCGCACACTGTTGGCGCTCTATAAATACTATGTCATAATAATCTGTATATAACTCACTGATGACAGGTCCACTTTGACTCCCAACTGGCATCACCCTCATTATAAAACCCGGAAGTGACGGTTCTGAAGCGCGGCAACTGCTGAGAATTGCTTTTGTCGGGCAAATAAAAATGATACAAAATCTGTTTGATGACTTTTTATTTCACATACAAACTTTGCAGCAAAACAACCCCCCGAGCTTCACAACACTCGCAGCTCGTCCAGGGGTAGAAATCCGGGCTGGCACTTGTAGTTCTTAGGATTGTGAGGAGTGCCGGTCACTGACAGATCTTCACATGTGTGTGCGTTGCGGTAACGTGAACTACAACACGTGCTACTGCTCATCCTGCCACATGCGATGATCCGTCTTTGCTGCATTGCAGTGACCTCCAGTCACAAGTCACATGATGCGTGTTCATGGTGATTGGGCAGCGCTTGGTAAGAGAAGGGCAACGATCGGCCGCCAGCAGGGGGACCAACGCTCTGTATACGTGTGTGGCGTCATGGCCATTACTGCTGAATATCACCCAATGTACTAAGACCACGCACAAGTGATGCAGAACGCGGCAACGCATTGTAATGCACTAGAGAACAATTGCGGTGTGTCGCGGTGAATCTTTTGTGTCACGCCGGATTTTAGGGACATTTTGGTGCTTTTGCACACCGTTATTTCCATGGTTCTGCCCTAACGCAACGCGCAACATAATGTGCGCTAACATACATGCATTATTGTGCCGCACAAATGTAAATAGGTCCTGAAAACAATCCACCTAGCCAACCACTCAGTGTCTGCAACCTCCCTCGGCCAATCCCTGCACTGGCTTCCATCCCCCACCCCCCTCTGCCAATCCCTGCACTGGCTTCCGCCCCCCAAGCCTTTAGGCGATCCCTTAAGTCTCATCTCTTCAGGGAAACCAATCCCACCTCAACCTAACCACTCAACCATCACGTTCTCAAACAATTCATCCCCCACACAGCTCCTTCCTCGTGTATCACTTGAATTGTATTGTGATTGTAATGTCTTCCTTACATTGTACAGCGCTGCGCAAACTGTTGGCGCTCTATAAATCCTGTGTAATAATAATAAAAATGCACCAAAATATCCCAAAATCGTGATGAAAACTTTTTACCGCGATGCACTATGATGTGTTGCAGCGCGCACATATAGCTTAGTGTGTTGGGGCGCCATTCCGAATGATTGGTAATGTGACGCAGAAACTACTTATCACTTTATACAACGAATCTCTTGGAATATAAAGGACGCGGAGGGCTGATCACCTTCCTGGGTGTATTCTATACTCTGTACAAAAATATCCTTTCATTTTAGGGTCCCTGAAACGTTTGGAGCAAATGAAAGAGGCCCTGTCACCCCGTGTCTATATTTAACCCCCCGCGCAGGAGAAGGGAAGGATGACCTCATGTTGAATCAAATTGTAACCGAGGTGCAGAGTTACAGGCGTCACTATAAATCTCCACATTCTGACACTTCCTGGTGAGTCAGATTTCCTCATTTTCCTGATGCGCATTGGCCACTCCCCCCCCCCCCTTCCCAAACCGCTACAACACTAGTGTGTCCCTGTAGAGCTCACACTCAGTCTGTGCTCAGGGACATGTTAGTAGGGTTGCCACCTGTTCAGGTTTCACCCGGACAGTCCGGGTTTTGAACGCTGTGTCCGGGTTTCATGGCACCAGGAACCCGGACACAAGATGTCAGGCAGACAGGGGGCAACCAGAATTAAGATAGGGGCTACTGGCCCCCCCCCCCCACTGAAAATAGTCTAAACTGTGATATTTACATATTAATTACATATGAATAAGCCACGGCTAATTCTCCCCAAAAGAATATGTCCGTGTAATGCTATAGTGTTCGGGTTTCGCTTGAAGAAAAGGTGGCAACCCCACATGTTAGGCTCCATTCACATACTGTATGGCGTTTGCGGTTTCCGTGTGGTTTCCTGTGCAGAAAAGCGCGCAACCGGGATATGCGCAATTGTTTACATACGCGCTGATTTCGCACATAAATAGCCGCAAGCGCGGGGAATCTGCCCCTAAAATCGCTCTTGCACTGTTTTGCAGGACGTGTGGTTTTATAACTGCGTGGATGCCCCAATTGTCTGAGCAATGCACACTGGAATGCATTGTTTTTTACGTTTAGCGTATTTCCGCACATACGAATACGCACGGAAAACCACTCATGTGTGATTGGAGCCTTAGTGTCATAGCGGGCAGCAGAGGGGGTGCCCGTGTGTTATAGAATGGTTTCCTGATAATAAGAATTTACTATTAGAACTTTAAATCATGAAGTTTCTTTTATTTCTTATAGACCTTTTATCTGCGTCATATCTCTGATGAAGAGGAAGTGTCTGGACCCCCGAAAAGCGTCGGATGTGTGTTATTTCACTCATTGTTCAATAGCAGACTATCACTGGCCATTGGTGTGTGGCGCCCTTAATGCTTCTAACAATAAAAGGCTGACAGAGGTTCTAGCATTCTCCTAGTTAACGTTCAGAAAAAGCATTTTTACCTCTGTCTCTGTTGCTGAGAGAGGTTTCTACTCACTTCCTGTTCCTGTTTACCAGACAGGAAGTGGATAAATCTCTCCAACGGAGCCTCTGACTGCTGTAAAAGCTCACAGGAGTTGTGATCCTCTCACACTACACCCAAAATGAAGAGAAACATTGGGCTATAGATATATTTTTTGGGGGGGTTTATTTACAAATAATTCACACAGCCGTTCACCCTGTGAATCTCTGTGAATGTTCATTCTGTACGAATGTAGGAGAAAAACGAAGGTTCTTAGTATATTTTCTTTTCAGGTTGAATGTATTATAAGTAAAATTCCTCATTACGGCCACTAGATGGAGCCGAGGAGCACAGAAAATAAGTATTTATTTCCTATGCTCCTCGGCTCCATCTAGTGGCCGTAATGAGGAATTTTACTTATAATACATTCAACCTCAAAAGAAAATATACTAAGAACCTTTGTTTTTGCCTCCATTTGCGCAGAATGAATGAATGTTCACAAACATTCACAGGGTGAATGGCTCTGCAAATTGTTTACCAATACACCCAAAAGTTTTATAGGGAAATGTTAAGGGTACAATTTTTATGTAATGGCTGCTTGCATCTCACTGGGGAGACCCCCCACACCAACTCCTGCCACTCCCCCTCACTTCCTTTCCTATCTTTGTAAGTTGTCACTGAACAGGTGTCCCCACTGGGAAGTCATCCCTCCTCTTCTGTTTCCTGTGAGGGATGTTACGTTTTGAAGTTCCCATCATTTTCTCCAGTGATAATTGGGACAGGAAGTGAGGGAGAATCTTCCCAGCAGGGATAACTGAGGGGTCTTACCTCCTCCCCGCTCCGCACAACACTGCAAAGCTGCTTTTGCCTGGAGTTGCGCTGTAAAGTGTCTGCAGGCTCCTTGAGGTACCAACTGTAACATTGTATATGATAACCTGTACAAGAAGCGTGGTGACAGGTTCACTTTACAGAGCCGCAGCAGTACGAGGCTCACCCCAGAGTACAGTGAGTGTCATTAGCTAGAAATTCCGGCATAGCAAAATACATCTAGTAAAAAAAATGTAACAGC